AAATGAAATGTGAAACAAAGCACTGCAGTAGCCAAAATGGGGAGGGGAAAAAACAAAGGAAACATGTCTCATTGGAAATAATAACTAAATTTATGTACTGAAAAGTACAAAGAAATATAAATCCACCTAGACTTAAGAAACATCAAAATCTGGAAATCAGCAACTAAGGAAGCTCTGGCTGTAGACTGCACATTAAAAAGCACCTTTACTTATGTGCTCTGAAATCATAGCAGCAAGCTGGTATAGAGTAATAACCTTGACATTACGGAGTGTACATATGGGCCATTAAAGCTATTTTGGAATAAACATTTTCCAGAAGTGATAAAATGATGCTCTGTGGCCAAAAGCATCAGAACTATGAATTTCATAGATTTAAAATATACTGTACAATATCTTCTCACATTGCTGAAGGTTCATGTCCTTAGCTTTGAATGGTTTCAACAGAGGTCAGAATAGCTGAAAAATAAGAGGAGACATTACTTTGACACCTGCAAAGTTAATGAATGACCATTTTCCAAAGTAACTAAGGGTGACATTCTATAACAATAGAATTGACAAGCATGGCCATGAAAATCCTAAAACATAACACAATTAAAGGACATCTCTTCATTTCCATAAGCTTAATTCACAAAGCAAAGACACATAATGCAATTAAATAGCAATTCAGAATCAAACACACATCCAAATTTGTGGCTGAATCCAAAAGATCAACAAAATGAGCAAAAAGATTTGCATAATTTCACTAAAATATGCACCACTGTATTGAGCTGACTACAGAGCAATGTCATTTATTCAGCTCTTCTAAGTCTTGCAAAAACTACTAGTTCAGAGAGATGGCGTGAGCACCCGGGGTTAGAAAATACCTGCAATATAGGCCACTGGCTCTTGGAGTCAAAATATTTAAAACAAAACAAAATCCAGTAAAACTTTAAGAAGCCTGGAAACGTATGTGAGTTTTAACTCTGAACATTATTTATTAACAGAATGATCTGTGTACAATGAATCATACACAGTTTGCTGAACCAAAAAATACTGAGAGTGGCTCTTGATATATATTCCACTAACATCTAAATAGAGGCCAGCTATCAACTCTTCACATAGGATTCAGATGAGCATAATGTGTATTATCCTATGCTTGGTGTTATTCTGTTACCAGTAGCAACTGTCACTTCTGAAAATATTAAGTTAAAGGTTTAAACACATGAGTGACAGAAGACATAGAAAAGACTATAGCAAATAGGTTGTTTTTAACAACTAGCAAGAACTACAATTGTGCATAGCTACCAAATGACAACTAACAAAGGTCTCTTCTAGGCACTAGGTAGATATAATATCAAATAAAAGAGGTTATTGTAAGAGATTACAAATATGACAAGACAAATATAAATCTTTCAGGCTGGGAAAAAAAAATTAAAAAAGACACTAGTGATAGTTGCTACAAAAAGGTACAAAGGGAAGTAAATTCTAGAGAATAAATATTCCTGTATAAACTATAAGGAGTTCTGGTGGCATAGTGGGTAAGACATTTGGCTGCTAACCAGGTGATCAGCAGTTCAAACCCACCAGTTTTGCTCTGTGGGAGGAAGATGAGGGAATCTATTTCCATATAGATTTACAGCCATGGAAAACCAATAGGGGGTGCTATGAGTTGGGATCGACTCGATGGCAGTGGGTTTGGTTTTGGTTTGCTATAAGCTTAATCAAGATGGTATCTGTACTGATTTATTTTGAAAATTTAAAAATCAAAAATGTTAATAATAAAGCTCATAATGTCTCGATGTGTTTACATGGCTTAAAATTGTTTAACAGAAATTAGTGGTAATACTAAAGTATCAAACATTACTAGGTCTGGTAGATACACTGCAAGAAAAAAACTGCAGAAAGAGGCATAAAACTCTCATTTTATACCTCACAACTTTTCTGAAAAGTTAAAAAAAAAAAGTATTTACCTATAATTACAAAACTGCAGGGAGAAAATTAGTAATTGTGCGTGAACTTAAAAGTAAGACTTTAGGAAATTATTCTCAGTTCTCAAACTGTGGTCCAAAGAACGCTGTTCAAGAAAGGCTTCCTTTCTCTCCCTCTTTGACTCTATTATCGCCCATGCTTTTCAGATGGCTTTTTTAGTAGCTACGTCCTGTACTGAAATTATTAGGAATTAATTTCTGATAGATCTTAAAGATTTTAATATTCCATCAAGGTCGTTATACTATAAATACTTCTTTGTCCTTTAAAATAATTAACAAATTCCCAATGAGGTAGACATGTCATACTAACTGTAAAAAAATTACATGATCAACATGTAATGACTTAAACAGAATTCTCAGATCAGAATTTCCTATGGAAAGGAAGGCTAAGTGGGAACACAGCTGCAAAACACTGTGAGGCTTGTCTTGGAACAGACCATACCCTTCAGTTTTGCTGTTTTTACAGATGATGATGTAAGAGACAGAAAATGCTGCCACATAGTGACGGGTCAATGTTGGAAACCTGAGCTACTGCCTGTGGTTCAAACACATGGCCTGCTTACTCTGCCAACTATCCCAAATGTACAGTCCAAATTAATCCCAATTTTCATCCACCAAGCCAACAAGGGAATACAATTCAAGAGAGACATTCTAACAATAAAGCACATACAGAGGGCAAGGACGTACTTCTCCCGAGACTACACACACATGAAATGTGATCCTTCTGTGAGCTGCGGCTGAGTAGATGGAACTGGTGATGCTGAGGACTCAGGAGACTGGGGCTGACTTTTCACTAAAACACACCAAGAAAATGTGAAATGTAAAACTGTTTAAGATACATTTGGAGAAGGAAATGATTATGCTGTGCTATGGCTAAGACACTTGCCTGCTAACCAGATGCTGGCGGTTCAAACCCACCAGCCACTCCTCGGAAGGAAGGAAGGTTGGGCAATCCTACTTCCGTAGTGATACTGCCTCGGAAACCCAAGGAGGGGTCGCTATGAGTCGGGGCCGACTCGATGGCACATAACAACAACAACAACAACAACATGACCTACAACAGCATGTTTTGGGAAGGAATGAATAGTTACATTTGGGTTCCGCTGCTATTTTCTAATCTGGCAACTGATCAGAAGTTCTTTTTGTTTTACTTTGAGGTTACTTTTCAGGTATCTATCAATTAATCTCTCCTGTTATATTCCATTCTTTAAAAACCTTTTTTAGTTCCATGGAGGTAAATAGCATTTTTTAAAAAAAAGCTGCTGTGGACTTGGTTCTGACTCACGGCTCCTACACGTATGTCCTAGCAGAGCTGTGCTTCCTAGGGTTTCCATGGTAGCCAGGCTTGTCTTTTAAGGTGCCTATAGGAGCTCTGGTAGCATAGTGCCTAACGCACTGGACTGCTAACCAGAAGGCTGGTGGTTCAAACCCACCAGCCACTCCTCAGAAGGAAGGCTGCGCATTCCTACTTCCGTAGTGATACTGCCTCGGAAACCCAAGGAGGGGTCGCTATGAGTCAGGGCCGACTCGATGGCAAATAACAACAACAACAACATGGGTAGATTTACACCTCCGACCTTTTGGTTAGCAATCAAGAGTGTCACCTGTCTGTACCACCCAGGGACTCCTTCTAAATACTACAGGGGAGTTTAAAACCACCATACTACTTTGATCCAAACTGTAACAGAAAGCGGCCAGTAATAAAAATAATAATAAAAGAGAACTTCTGTGCACACTAAGTGAGAGAGGCAAAGGACAGTAAAAGATAGTAAAGCCAGTGTTTAATATCTGTCACAATGAAACAGCATGCTATATGTATATATTAAGATACAGAAAAGCCTCTGCCAAGAACCTTCATGCTCTTCTTAAGAAGAATACAGTAGTCCTAAGTAATTGAACATTGTATACTTGTTTTTCTGCAGAAAAGTTAGGGTGGGTAGTATTAATAGGAATGGTGTTTGCTTATGGAATAGAGGAAGCAAAGCTGGTAATACAGATGTGGTATGAATCCTTTCAAAAAAAGTTGTAAAGTAAAAAAGGAAAAGCAAAAATATCCCCTCCAAAAATATGGCAGAACATTAGTACAGAGTAACTTTTTTTTTTTCTTAAAACAACATTCTATGGATCAGGATAATCTATTATAAAAGAAAAACACAGCTGTGAATTATAGTAGGGGATAGAATAAACACATCCATTCTATCACTTTAGATATTAAATCCTCCACAGTTCCCAAGGTAGCATGTTTGTGAATACTCTTGAGAATGCAGTACATCTTTTAAGTAATGGAGATGTTATTCAAGGGGAAAAATAAAGGGATAAGACGGTGATTTGAAAGCACTGGTCCCCAAGCCTCAGTGCATTCTGTGGGGCTCTAGCTGGTTAGGCTTCTGCTGCTCTCTTTCTTCTGTGTATGTCTCTATGGAAGAGTCATATGAGAAGGTAAAGGCTGATGAAACTGCAGTCAAACTACGTAAGTGGCTCCCTTGCTAGAATCTCCACATGGAAAACAAAGCCAGAAGTTCAGAGGGAGCACCAGAGAAAAAAATGATGAAATGTGTACTATTTACCTGCCATTGTTTGATTTCCTCTAGAAGCTTCAGGAGTTAATTCAAAAGAAATAACAGTTTCTTCCTGTTCATGAGTATCATCCTTTGTATCTTCTTCAGGGTGGCCCTCTGGTTTATGATTTGTGATCTGTGTTACATCTTGGGAAGTGCTGAAATATATTTTTAAAAAACATCAGTGCAGTAAAACATAAGCTAATAATGGTTGAATATGCCATTTCAACTATTTTTACATGTACATTTCACCAACAAAAATTATGTTCACCATGTTGCACAACCATCACCATTATCCATTTCCAAAAGTTTTATTTTCATCACCCTTACTAGAAACTCAGTGCCCCTTAAGCAATAATGCACCATTTCCCCCTCCCATCTGCCCTGGTAACCACCAGTAAACTTCTGTCTCTGTACATTTGTCTATTCTGGGTACTTCATGGAAGTGTGACCATATTTGTGCTTTTGTGTGTGACTTATTTCATTTAGCATAATGTTCTCACGGTTCATTAATGTTCTAGCATGCACCAGAACTTCATCTCTAAGACTGATACTTTAAAATTTGTTATGAGAGAATGCAACTACTTTTTTTTTCTTCTAATATTTTGTTATAAAAATTTTCAACCATACAGAAAAATTTAAAGATTATAATAAACACAGTTTAACAACTTCCTGCATTTACCAGCTGTTAAGATTTTGCTTGAAAATCTTTGTTACAGAAATTTCAAACATTAAAAAATGAATAATGTATGAAACCAGTTTA